TGACACTTTGTAAAGTTCAATGACCGTTAAAACAATTAACTCACGTTTCATCTGTGCTGCAATTCATTGAGTCTAATTCCGAATTTTTGGGAAGCAGAATTAAATGGGTTAAATCCACTGTGGCCGCCCAACTTTAGGCTAGTGTCACCTTGATCCACTAATTTAATTTTGTTTTGTGGCCATCTGATTTTATATTTATCATTATTATGACCACTCAATTTAATTTTTATTTCATTATGACCACTTAATTTTATATAATATTTTACCGTGGCCACACAACTTCTTTTAACCATTTTCACTACTTTTAAACGGGGTAAAATGATAAATTTACATTATATATATATAATAATATTTTAAAAATAAAAGATTTTTTTATTTTAAAAACATTTTTTTTAAATAAGTTTTCATTATATTTTATTTTTCTAAGTAATTTTTTAATATAAGTTTTTATTTTGTTTTAAAAACCTTTTTTTAAATAACTTTTTATTTTATTTTATTTTATTTTTCTAAGTAAATTTTTTTTTTCAAAATAAGTTTTTTCTTTATTTTGAAAATGTTTTTTAAATAAGTTTTTATTTTATTTTAAAAATGCTTTTTTTAAAATAAGTTTTATTTTATTTTTTTTAAGTAGCATTTTTTAAATAAGTTTTTATTTTATTTATTTTTAAAATAATTTTTTATTTTATTTTCATTTTTTAAAATTTATTTTTTATATATAATGCAAAGTTATCGTTTTACCCCTTTTGAAATTAGTAAAAAATTGTGAAAAAGAAGTTAGGTGATCATGGTGAAACGTTAGATGAAATTGGATATACATGACAAAATTTTATAAGAAATTGGGTAGCCAGAGTAAAATCAAATCAAATTGAGTGGTTATTGTGACATTAAATATAAAGTTGGGTGGTCATGATGAAACAAAATGAAATTGAATTATCATGGTGACGTTAAATATAAAATTGGGTGGTCAGGGTATATTTAACCCGTAATTAAATTCTTAAGATTAGGGTTTCAATTGAATTTGGGAATTAGGCGGGAAGAGTTGCTTAGCCTTTGTTAGACACACATTCTTTAAAAATACATCATTTCAAAACTCATTTTCAACCACACATTTTTCAATAAAATAATAGTTTCCATCAACATCAATAATTTTTCCTTACTTTTTAATCACATATTTCTCATCATATCACTATATAAAATATAT